ACACTTGAGTGAGAAAAAAAATATTGCACACACTACTGGTTATCTCTGTGTCCTTATGCAACCCTTGATATTTTGTAGTGCCATACATTTCCTGGTTTAATAAATATTAGTGGCAAAATTATTAAATTGTTTTGCTAAAACTAATTAATTAAAACTATTTACTATAATATTATATAATTCAGAAGGAACATGAAAGCCAGAAAGGGTAAAATAAATTGCTAATCAATTACAAAATGAAACTTACTGAGTACCCTCATATCTACTTGGAGCTTCTTATCTTACAGGGTTTTTATGCATATTCTTTATCTAGCTATACAATACTTATATAACCCTTCATCACCATAGTATCTGGGCCACTGTATCTTAATCTTGTTAAACTTTTTTCAGTGAAGTTATTATTGTTTATAGACCCAGGAATAACTGGAGGCTGATTAAAAATAGATATTTATAAGTGCCCCTTCTTTGACTGCTGTAGGTGGAAAAATGTTCAAAAGGGAAAGGGTTTTTTTTTTAAGATTCCCATCCCTTTTTAAAGTTTGAACACACACACATTAAAAAAAATCTTAAAACCCACTCTTGTTTTCTAAACCCATGAATTCTGACAGTCATATAAAAGACAATACCCATTTCATTTGTAATTCTTCATTTTGCTAAAAAAAATAACATTTTATTTACAGAACTGTTAAAAGAATGTAGGTGGTAATCTGCCAAATTATATTTTACTTTCAATGGTAAAGAAAACTGTAACCTGATTTGTTGCAAATAAACTATTTTATTAACAGGGCCCTCACAAATGCTCAGTAGCCAGCTGATGGATAAACAGAATAAATTATTTCTCCACTCTACTGACCAAGTAGTGCTTGTTATTCTTAATGCATAAGATGTATGGATACAAATCTGTAATTTATTACTATTGATGCTGCAACCTGTTTAAGGGAACTGTCGAGAATTTGGTAAACACAGTAAAGTCCTTCTTGGGGGGAAGTGGGTGTGGGGCACCCTTTCTAAAATCTTTTACATCAAACAAGCTGTTAATAAGAGGGTTGGCAACAACAGCGTTTAGGAACCTTTAATCACAAACGCCGTATCAACAGGAAGCTATATATAACACACCTACATCTTGTCATCAGACAAGATTGGAACATTTTGAAATATAATGACACTTCCATTCAAGTGTGATTAAAAATGTCTGCTTTTAAGGACAAGTACTTTTAAGGAGTCTGAAATGGATTACAAAATACATGATTAACAAAACATAAAGCCTATTATAAGAAAAAAGCCACCAAAGCCTGAATGGAGGAGGGAAATAAAGAAAATATTGCCCTGTCTTTATTCTTCCACGTTTCTGGAATGTGGGAAGATCATCACAAAATTGTAGGTGGCAAGAAGATTAATGGAAACCTGTTAAAGCCAAGGAGGACACTAACATGATCTGGAGTTAGCTGGCATAGTTATATTGAATTCCATGTATCTATGACTTCAATGTATCTTACACCATCTGAAGATCTGGCCCATTGGCTTTACAGAAGATACTGTCCATTAATGCTGTGATTCATTTAGAATCAAGGCTTCCATAGCAATTAAAGCTCGTCTTGCCCCAGCTAAAAGCCACTTTGCCACAGTATTTTTCTTTTTTCTTTAAATAGCTTTGTGGGCAAATGCCTTAATACAAGATACAAACCTAAGCCCATTGTCAATGTTTATTATTTCTTAGCTTCTTCAAGAGCGCCAGGTGCTTTACAGAAAATACAATCAAAACAGTTTTCTGCTCTTCCAGTATAAGAACTATCACTCTATAACCCTACTAAGTATATTGTTTATTACTAAAAATAATCCCAGTGACTTCAGTGGAGTGCAAGAGTGGAGTTCTCACAGTAGCAAGAATTAGGCCCAGCGTAAGCTATAGCAAGTGATGGATTTGGCAAACAAGGGAGGAGACCAAAACAGAAAAAAGTATGGAGATATGGTAATATGATTACTTTCACACACGATGTTGCAGAATAAGATCTTTAAAACCTTGTTTTTGCACATTTTTATCTTGTTAGATTCTAGATTACTGTAAACATGAATGGAATATTGATTCTAATACAACACATTTAGTGAAGATGTGAAGAGTGAATAAAGTGAAGTAATTAAGAATAGTGGCCAAAATTATAAATAGCAGCTCCCACATGGTTTCATGCTTACTTCCCATGCACTGAAAAGAGAATGGAAAAGGATGCCAACTATGAAACTAAATTAGCTCCTGCCAGCACATAAGAGGTTTACAAAAAAATAAGCCAAGTATCAGTAACAGTTATTTACTGAAATATTTACTAAGCCCCAAAAGACTAGAAAAAAATTGGCATAATATTAATACTTCTACTGAAAAAAATAGTAGCAACTTATTATATCCAAAGTTGTAGCTGGAAATGCAGTGTCTAAATATTTTCCATTTTATTCCTAAAAATCATATGGGTCAACTTAATCAGTAGCATTAATGACAGAAACAAATAAATATATCAGTTTTACATGCCAGTTAACTCTTTTTTTTCTGTGCTATATCCTGGGCTCCTGATTTTCAGGTGTAGTATTTCAAAACCAATTATTTATTGTTTTGCCTTTAAAAACGTTTGAAATGTTAATATTTAGAATGGCACCCATTTGTTGTGACTATGTATGATTGATCAGCTTAATATAAAATGTAAAGATATAGTAAATCGTTTTTCAATGCAGAGTTTGTAGAGAAGTAATCAATGAATCTTTAAATTGATCACTACTGCTTTTCAGACATAGCATCGAATCTTAAATTGCATTTTTCTTCTAGCCATTGGAGTGAATTTTGCAAATTAATAAAATATGAAATAAAATATACAACATTACAGAAATGTAGTTTTCTTCATTAATATTGGCTTTCTATTTATAAAGTAAGGAAGACTTAGAAACATGAGACCTCTCTACAAAACTCTGCTATAAAGAGTTTGCTGAAAAATATGAGTGATCTTGAAGTGTTTGGCAAGATTTAGTAGGTTCATGAATCAGCAAATTGAGAGAGAGTCTTTTTTTTTTTTAATCAATCTCTCCATAAATGTTCATATCCTAAGGATATGCTGAGTTACTATTTCTGTATTGTACAGTTAATTTTATTAATAAAGCTGCTTCCACATACTTTTACATTGGATTGTAAAGTTACCTAATAATTCTACAAGGAAAAATTACATGTGAACATGAAGAGTAATGACAAATTACAGCCTATCTAAAGTTTTTTTTTTTTTTTTTTTTTTTAGAAATGCTTATTATTGGTTAGGCTCATACAAAGAAAAAATATATATTTATCTGAAATGTTGTTGTTTTCAAGAAATAAATTTGCTATTATTTCACTTGGAAAATGTAATACTTTCTTAAACAAGACATTTCTAGCTGATTGATTAGGAAAATAAATCCCGTTTATTTATTTTAAATATGGATTGTATAAGTAGCTTTTCAAAGTGAAGCCATTATGATAGATTATATTCACCATCACTTCCAGCTAAACATTTTACAAAAGTTATAGAATTTGTTACGTGATTTTGGGTATCACACTTGCTTAAATATTTTTTCCGAACAAAATTATTTGCTCTTTTAATTTTTTCTTTGTATTAAGTATTAATTTGTGGGATTCAACAACAACTATCTCTTGCAAATGCAACAATATGCATTGTTTATAGGCAAAAGCATTGTACTGTAAATATGGTATAATTAAAAAAGAAAGTTTACAATCAACACAATTTGATCTTATTTGTAAGGAAAATCACCTTGAAATCCTCTCTGTATTTTGCAAAGTTTTATAGCTCAGGTGGAATAAAGATTTAGTATTTATCAACTGAAGGCAAAATAGAATTAACTTGGAAAAGAGAGTTAAGGCTTGAACTAATTTGTCAGCCATGATTATCACTTGGAAGAACATTCGGTTTATTGAAGACAACTACTGTGCGATAAGGACAGGATAGATACTAGTAATAACCATGCCGTTTAAATTGCTTGAGTTGGCTTTGTGCCCAAGTTCTACAGCTCAGTATAGCAACACACTTGTTGCTGGCAAAGAAAGAGAGGAACTCCCTCAGATCTGAAAATACCATACAAACTTCTCTTTCTAAATAAATGATTAGGATGAACTGTCCCGCTCACTCCTTATGTTTCCCTTTTGATTTAGAGGAGAAAGACCACAGTCATATAAAAGACACTATCTTCCTAAATAGTCAAAAATAGGAAAGCATAAAGATGTTAGGTCTCTCTTTGTGGAATTTATGTATACATAGTAGTCCTAATTTTTGCTTATGTTAATGTTGCAATTATAAACAAACAGTTACTTTGTCTAATTGACCAGACCCTCCCTTCTCCCCAAAAGAAAAAAAACCTTCTTGCTTTCACTTGATTTTCACTATGAAAAGCAGAACTTATAAATACAATGATTTTGTTTCAGTTTATTACTTTAAATCATTAAATGTATATTAAACTGCCCCAAAAGAAATAAAATACTTTTTAAAAAAATGTTAAATCAAGGCAAGACTGATGTTACCACCCAATGTACAAGTTATAGAAAGTGTTTTCTTGACCTATTGTAAAGTAAAGCTGGTATGAAATTATTTTATGCACAACCATTTCCTTTCAATTTATACCAAAACTCAGATTAAGTTTATATTTGAGACCTCCTCTTCATAGAGTATGTGAAAACAATGGAAACTGTTTTCATCATCTTCTTGAGTCCCTGTATTATCTTCAGACAGAAAGAATTCCTGAGCTCTAACATCCTGGGCATATGTATAACACAAACATGTTTGCCAAATACTTTATATTACCCCATTTGTTCAAATAGCGTCTAGTAATGGGTCAGTATTATCTCATTCATCAGTTCAGTTGAAAAAATATATGAGTTTTCCTGAGACAATGGGCCTCAGCTGCATGACAAATACACGTTATGGCCTTTAAATTTAAGTTTTAAATACATGTTATGGCCTTTAATTTTAGTGAAAATGTCTTACCTTTTTTTACAAATCGTCCTCCAGTGTCTTCAAGTGAATGATCTAGAAAAATAAAAACAAATTCCAAATGTAACAGCGCAGAGTTTGAAGCCAACCATCCACTTTCTAGTTTTTGTCCAGACTAGTTTCTCACCGTTTGAACTACAAACAGCAACTTTCCCGTGACATTTATTTTTTTACTAGTGAGCAATAAAATCACCCCGTTGTCCAATTAATGTGGGCATCAGCGTTTTCATGTGCCTTTCACCATTTTGTGTGAGGGGGGAAATGGAAAGACAAATACATAAAAAGCTTCAGTGACAAGAGTTTCAGCTACTTTATAAATCCAGATAAAAGTTAATAGTTAAACTCCTTTCCTCTCCTCTCCACCCTCCCAAGTGTTCATGTCCTTTAAGAAATGAAATGTTTTTGTTCTCTTTTACCAGAGGCTAGACAATCTGTCAACATCTCCACTTTATTTACGGGTTGAGCAACAACAGTTCCTCAAACATCAACATTTTACGTTAATCCTGGAGATAATCCGCTTCTCTAAAACTAACAGATCTGCCAGGATCTGTATTATTTTATTTTTTTACAACAACCGTAAAGTCTTTCTTCCCTACGTGCAGAAGCGAGGAGGAAAACTATCCCAGAATCTGTTCACTTTCAGATCCTTTCCCCTGCCGCCCCCCCACAACCCCCCTCCCCACAAAAACACACCCCACAGATCCCCCACCTGCTCAAAACTAGTGGAATTTCACAGGAGGAAACAAAATCTTCCAAGTGGTTCCTTTCGGGCGATTGCTTCAACCCGTCTGGAGGTTCAAACCTGAAAAACAAACACGTCTATTGAATGCAAACGAAACTTTGGGGGACTGAGTTAATTCTCCAGCAGACAGCTACTCTCCGTGTCTGGTTACACAAACATACCTACAGACAGGTTGGAGAGAAATCCCTTCGAAAGCAGAAATCAGTGCAAAGGCTGGCGCTGTTTGGGGGGCAGGACTCTGGAGAGGGCAAAGACACCCCCAGGGTAGCATGCCCCAGACAGCTTTAATGCTGGGACTAGGAGGAGCAGGGGGGAGGAGGTATTCAAACAATAATTAAAACAATAGGAACAAGCCGGGATGCTCCAGAAAGTTTTAAAGAGCTCGTGAGGGAGAGAGAGAGAGACTTTCCCCCAGCGAGGGGGAGGGGGCTGTGATTGGGGGCAGGGCTCCGGGGCCACCCAGCCCCACCCGCCCTCTTGCTTGGTCACTG